AATTTTGTATCTGCGCCTGGCTCTATCTGTGGTGAAGCTTGATGCTTCAGTAACTGAATTGTTCTATATTCTTTTCCAAGGTAGTTCTGGGAGAACTTTCTGTCCTTCTGGGGCCCTGGGGGGAATTTGGCAGGACTGTCAGTGCTAGAGAGGTTTATCCTCCGTCCTCATTGAAAGCAAAACCTGGGCTCCAAAGTACATCTCCAGCTGAACCAGCTACTCTGGGTTGGAAGCACCTCTGATCTTAGAGGAGAGGGTTTTGTGCATGGACAGGATTGGGGTAGGACAACACCCAAGTAAGACAGGGCTAACTCTGCAGTGAAGACAGCCCCTCCTTAGGGTCTGATTTGTGTTTATATTCAGTCCCCTTTCATTGCCAGAGCATTGTAACATAGGTGTAAACAATGTGATATAAAAGGGCATTAGTGTAAATCAGAATTAGGCCCCTAATGTCAGTTAGCAAAAGATAACTCTGCTATTGAGGAATGATTTAAAGGTATTACTGATCAAAGTCATCAGGCGGTTTAACTGTGTACACTTTGCAATATACTGTGTAGTTCTCAGTTAAAGTAGGATTTTATTTTTCAGTGTGGGTGGCAAGAGATGCATTAAGGGCTTGAATTTTCAAATCTGTTATAAACAGCAGCTTTCATTTACTCTGAAATGAGTGGGAATACACCAGTGTAAAACAGCACTGATGTGAATTCAGAGTCAAACTCATATTGGTTCATTATGCTTATTTACTTTCCAAGTAATCCACTCCACTAGGCACACAGCACAGTCCTCCATAGAAAGCTGTGTGGTGGTAGCACATTACATTTACATGATGCTTTTGTAAATTTACTTTCTGACATGACTATCTCTTTCTGCAAAGCACAGCTACATTAAAGGCCAAAAGAGTGTGTTTAGTAAATTGTCCAGTATCATCTTTGGATATTGCAATATAGAATGATCATCCAGCAGATCTCATATGGACAACTATTTCTTGGGTAAACAAGGCTGAATTATACTCTTCCTCTCCTGAAATATGTAGTATTGCAGTTCACTGTTTTAAAGGCTGGTATGTTTTATTCCAATCATAGCTGTCATAATATATGAAATCACTGTCTTAAGCAAGAGCCATTTGTTTAAAAGAAAAACTATTACAAACTACAGTTCAAAAGAAACAGGCGTTTACCCAGCTTGAGTTCTCACTTTGTCTTCGTTGTTTACCAAGATCACACCCCATTTGGAACACTATACAGCACAGAGACATATAGTGGCCATGCAGATAGCTGTGTGGTCATTGTTACCAGGAGGACAAACATAGACATAATAGGCTGTTGCCTGTGTGCTAAGTGATCTGATAGGGGAGAGACCCAGATTAGGTATTTTCCCAGAGTAATTCCAGTGGCAGAGGCTCTGTAAGAGGAAGTTCAAGGGCATGTAATGTCAGCGTTTCACATAAGCAGGGTGCTGGCAACTCCCACTCAAACTCTACAGGATTTGGGCTTTTATCTACATCAGCTCCTTTGAAAACACCAGTTTAGCCCCTCCTTGGACCTGTGGATCCCCACCCCTTGTAGGCATCCCCCACAGAAAGCCTGTGGCGTGTGAACTCCGTGGGCCGAACCTTGTTCTCATTTATACTGGTTTAAATCAGGAGCGTCTCTACTGACATCAGTGAAGATAAATGGGTGCAAAACCAGGACAGATGTGATCAGAATCAGGCCCACTGGGTTTTGTGGCAGGATGGTTTGGAGTAGTAAGCAACTAATCGACTAGTCGACTATCCGATAAACAAAACACCATGTGGAACTTCTTCCTTTGAAATGTAGCAACAGCCAGGTGGGCTCTTGCTATATTTCAAAGTGGAAGTGCCCTTATCGACTAATTGTATTCAATTAGTTAATTAATTTTAACATCCCTAGTTCAGAGTGCAGCTGTGTCCACACACTCCCAGACCAGGATGGAGCCCAAGTGCTGAAACCTTTTTTCATGAGGACACGTGTTTCCTTCTCTTTGGCAGTCAGAGGGCAGGGGTGAGGAAGTGGGGCAGATCCCTAGGAATGAAGGGAGTTTGGGAGGAAAAGCTCCCAGGGAAGTAGAGAAGTCTGGCTTCTAGAAGTAAGCTGTCCAGTCTCGGTCCTCAAGCCTGGCTTTTTGCTGTTTTCTCTTGCACTGAATTTAACCTTCCGCTCCTGTCTGTGTTAATAGGTGGAAACTCCATTGTAACCCTGGGTGTCCATAAACTGTGACCATGCAATCCAGCTTGTAATGCTCTGCTAGAACATGAGGTTTTGTGGGGCTTTGTTTCCCAGTCCGGCAGTTTTTATGGCATGACATGGAATACAGCACCTCCTGGGTTCAACATCTACCCCTTCCGCCCAATAGGTAGCCAGGATGGGTTCCTTCCGTTCATCTCACCACGGCAGCTCAGGTGGTCTCTTAAGGAATGTCATCTGAGCTGGAGCACGGTGCCAGGGGCTGGTGTTAACCCAGCCAGGCAGGGCGGGGTTTGCATGGAGAACCTTCTGGATCACAGTGTGACAAAACTTCTGTGCATTGCTGCTTCTGTTTTGTGTGTGCCCGTGTGTGTCTTTTGTTCACCATTTGCTTTTGGTCTTTTCTGCTGAACAGCCGCGGTTCCGGAGTCGTGCCCCATAAACATTGACGACTAGGTATGAGATACGCAAAGTCTGAACAACCCTCACGCTTGTTTTACTGTTTGGGGTTTTTTTTTTTTTTTTGGACTCCTCTTGATGAGCAAAATTGCCCCCATGCCATGATTAATGGGAAAAAATCTTGCCCCATCCCATACGCCTTGATAATAAGCACATCCCCTTGATAACATCAGAAGGGATTTCCATATCCAGTGAGCCTAAATCACCACTGCTCGGCCCGTTGGGTGTCAAACACTGCCGGAGCAGAATGGCAGCTGAGCACTGGCAGAGTTGATGCCGCAAAGTGCTGGGCAATGGAGCATGAGGCCCACTGCTTGGAATTGGTGCGAAAGACAGATTGTATTTTGGAGAAGCTGGGCTGCTCTCCTCCTGCCCCACCTCTGCAAGTGGTATAAAGACCCATGGTGAAGGCTTTGGACAGGTCTGTTGGCATGTGCTACCACCCTTATGCAAATGGGGAAAAGCCAGACCCCAGTGCAGTGCACGAGCCCTTTGCAAAAAACCAACCAACCAGAAAGAATGCCCATGGGTGGCTTGTAGGGACTAAATTACTCCCCTGATGTAATGGAACTTTGCTTTGCATGGGGAGGGCAGGACAGCTTTGTCCTCAGCAGGGAGCTGCTCCTGCAGCTGAGAGAGAAGTACCCCTCCCCCAGCCAGGCAGCTCTGTGTGCAGCCACCCCGAGCCGGACTCATTAAGCAGCTGCAGGGCCATGTTGCCGTGCAGCTTAGAGGGAACCTTGGTTGTAAGTCTAAACAGAGCTCTCCTGGCCTTCGCCCCTTTTGAACATCCCCATTTTGTGTCCTGAGACTCCAGCTGGCCTCTGTGTGGGCATTAGGAGCGAAGGGCTTCTGCCTCCCTTCACCTGCTGGACCTGATTGATTTCCCTTGCCTTTATGTCATGAGAAAGTACATGCTGAGTCAGTGACTTTTAATCCTGAAAAAATCCCATGTGTGCCTGAGGGGCCGACGGATCTCAGCGGAGCATCTCCTGCCCTAGCTTAGGCAGATGACCCAAGCCCTTTCCATCATGCACACAAAGTGGTGGGGAAAATACCGAGCCATGGCATCCTTCTTCAGCCTTCCAGTAGCCAGGAAGAAAGGGGCCAGCAGCTAATGGACCAAATTCATCCCGGGTGTAATTCCATGGCAGTCAGTGGAGCTACACCCTGGGTTTGCACGGCCCAGTATTTGCAGAGGCCTTGCTGGGAGCCAGTAAGCAATCCCAGGTGACATCCCAACATTGCTTTTTCATGGTAACTCTTCAGCTGTGGCATCAGGACGGTAGAGGAACACTCTAGCAGACGCATTGCCCTTTCTGGATGTCACACCAAGATTAGTCTCAGATTAGTCTCACACCATGGTTAGCTTTGCCTCTTTGCAAGGCCTGCTAGTGCTAAAGTGGATTTCCAGGTCTCCAGGGCTGAGATGGGGAGAGCCTCTCGCTTGTGGGATGTTCCTTCATTCTTCCAGCAAATATGCAAACAATGGGGGTGGTGCCATTTTGATTCTGGAGCAAAACACTCCAAGGGTTGTAAATTCACAGGAGATGGCCTTGTTTAGCATTGTGTTGCAGGCTGGCTCAGCTCTATACATTTCCTAGGCAAAAATAACACATACACACTTCCTACACTGAGCAAAAATCCCTCCTCAGCCCAGGGGGTATTTTTGCAGTTTATCAGCAGTTGCAGGCTCCGTTCAGAAGCCAGGTAATTGAGCTACACAATGGATTGTTGTTGCCATTGTACGTACTGATTGAAGCAAGCACTAGTGTATCCCAGTCATTTCCACAGCAAGGAGCCTGTGAGCCATGAGCATGCCATATGTGGCCTGCTGCAATCAGTGCAATTTGAGTCAGTGGTCTCCTGTCTGAATGGTGCGGTGTGAGCCAGTGAGAGGGAAGTCATTTTCCCCAGCACAGGTTGCTGTAAGATGAGGTTCTCCTCTGGCTAGAAGCGCCACTGGTCCTCGGCAAAGCGCGGAAGCAATGTGGGATTCGCTCTGCTTCACTCTAGGTGGAGCATTGTTGTTTATGAACTCACGTGTTTCCCTGGAACTGTCCCAGGCTGTGAATTTCTAGCGGTTGGGATAAAATGGGGCCCAGCGAGGAGACCAGCCCGCTATAATTTTGTGAAAAGGAGTCCAAATCCCAGCTGCTGACAGTGGAGAAAGAGGATACCCCCAGCTCCATGCTGCTGTCCCATCCTTTTCCAATTATAAGGCAATTCCACTCTGTGCCCAGATTTAAAATACCGAGTGGTATTTCTGAGATGCCCTGCTCTCTGCTAACACTAGGCACCGCTGTGCATGTCTAATCACTGTCTTCTCTTCTTCAGGCATCCAGGGGTCAGATGACAATGCCCTGACCCGCAGGCGAGCCCAGAGGCACCATCTGTCTTCCAGCAGCATCAGCCTGGAAGACAAGGAAGATATGCAGGGCGTGATGGGCCCGCTGGCTGTCTGAAGAGACTCCACCCCCCAGGACTGCATGCTCATTCCAGCCTCACACAGAGTAGAGGGCAAAGCCCCCCACCCATCACTTCCCTGACACTAAAGAAACACAGAGCACCAGCTCTGTGGGCATTAACACTCAAATCCAGCAGATGTAGCGACACTGATTTTTACAGAATGTAGCCTGGACCTCTCATTGCTCCTCTGGGCAGACCCCTTCTCGCTATTTATGCTAAGGCAAACTGAGCTCGCCGTGGTAACAGCAGAAGGGGTTTTGTTTGAATGAAGGCCGTATGACTCCTCAGTTCTGAGCCTTTCCAGTCTTCTCCTGGCATGTGTCCACCTTCTGTAGCTAAGGGATTGTCGGTCCTCTCCCTACCCATTCCTGTCTCCTTCAGCGTGGTGACCGGGGAGGAAAGAGCTGATGTTTTACACCCTTCCTCCATGCCTGCCTCTTCTCTCCAGTCTCTGCTGATGGTTTAAGCCTCCACCTTCTTAGCTGGGCCCAAGGGAGCACTGAAAGGTCTGCCTGCTTGCCCCTGCAAGAGATGTTCCAGGGCGGGTGGTCTGCATGACACGGGGGGCCTCCACCTTGAGGGGCGAGGGAGGGGGATGAGTGTTAGTCTCTGGGTTAGAGAGGTGGCTGCCATCTGCACTTGGCAGCTGGTTAAGAGAAGAGCATGATTGGGAGCAAGCCATGGGCAGGCTCTCCCTCCCCTGTCCATCTGCACTCACTATTAGCTCACCTCCATCTACCTCACAAGTGTCTCCACCTCGCGCTCTCAGCTGCATGTGCCCCGCAGGTGTCCGTTCCCCAAGAGGTGAAGCTAAACCCTGATCTCATTAAAGTCAATGGGAACATGGCTCTGGCCTTCCGGGGGACCAGGATTCAGCTGCTAGTGTTCATGGTGAGCCTCCAAGGAGCAGGCATGCTGACAGATGAAGGCTGGCATACCTGAATAGGTACACTTCAGTGTGCAAAAGACTGTGCATATGAGGGTTATGTGCATGCACCCTGAAGCACGTATGTGCACGCGGTTGTGGATG